TAGTTTATCTCTCTGTTTCCTAACAGAATTTGTTTTAAATATTCCTATGTGCTATAGAAAGAAAATAGAAATGAAGGGAGGGAGGAAGGAAGGGAAGGAAGGAAGGAAGGAAGGAAGGAAGGAAATCATCTATAGATTTACCAAAGGCATGAGGAAAATGGTAAGGATATCTGAACATCTTTTATAAAAAAAGAAAGTTCATAATGCTGGATCTTTCAGAGATATATCACTGGTTTATGAAATGCACTTTTCCAAGTTCAGCACAAGTAATTCGGCCAAGACTTAGTCGAGCCAAACAAAAAGGGGTTTCTGATTTTGTTTATGGCACCATCATCAGGAGCTCTCTCACCGAGAAAAAGACGTTCAGGTGCTCCTTGCTATCCAAACTTCTGCCAGGTGAACTCCTGTTACCTGAAGTCATGCTGCCCAAAATCAGAGATGGACATGCTTTTGGATGAATCTTTCACTGTCTGAAATCTGGGGCTCACCATCTGGAACTCAGGAACTAAAGTGATTCTTGTAAATACTCCTTTTACACGAGCATATTAGTTAGCTTCCTCAGCTTGGGGTGCAAGGGATGCTCTATTATCCAAATGTATTTATAACAGCTCCTTTATACATATATATATCCATGCACATAGACACAGGCATACACACATACATGTACATATATACAAGGCATCCTTTTTCTTGACAACACCTATCATCAATTGGTGTCCAGGATAAACAACATCGTCTAATACAAAATTTCTGATGCTTCTCCTGCTTAATTGTAGTCAGGATTAATTCTACTCTGAGAAAGTATTTGAAGTTATGGCATGGTGGGTGGCATCCTAAGCTACTTCTTTGGACTCATTGTCACTGTGGAAGGGAGAAGTTCACCCCATGTCTTTGAAGGGCCATCTCTGAATTCCCAGCACTTTTCACAGCAGTCTCATTTAATGCTTATTAAGAAGCTATGAGTGCAGGGGCAAGAACACCATGGTACTCCATGCCGGAAGTGAACGGACTGGTGTTGGCTCAAAGTTCTTTGCTTTACTATCAACATTTAGAGAGTATTTACGGCATGATATGTACATTCTAACAAAGTATTTAGAGATCCTTTGGCCATGGTTAATGCGAGCCACCTCAAATGCACAGCTTTTTCAAATATATTTTGTTTTGCTGTTATTTTCAGTATGTGGCTTTACTGCTATTATTCAGAAGAGAAAAAAATGTGTGTGTGTGTGTGTGTGTGTGTGTGTGTGTGTGTGTGTGTGTGTGTGTGTTTAAAGCTTACTTGTGGGATGGAGGCAAATTCTTACCTGTGAACCAGAGTGTTCTTGAGGCCACCAACTAGGCCCCGGGCGATGGTCTTCGCTCTGGGTGTGAGAATTGCTTGAGAGACATGAAAGGCACCACGTGGGGCCCGCTCACTCAGAGTGGTCTCCAAAAAGAGGATTAGTTTGCACACACTTGTGGTGTTTGCCCAGGGTGCTGGGATCTTCTTTCCTGGCCACAGGAAAGGGTATTGCTTGTAGAAAGGACAGTGATAGAAAATAAGAACCTGAAACATTCAAAACAGAAAAAGGAGAGCAATTCATGAACAAGCTGAAGGTTATCTCCTTGGCTTTACACTGACTGCTAGGAGGAAAGGCAAACAAATATAAACATGGAAATTCAAGAGTTATATATATTTTTAGAAAAATCAAAAAACAAAGATTTAAGCACTTGTATTTATCTGACTTGAAGATTCTTAACTTTATTTTTGTCATGAACAACTTTGAGAGTATGGCAAATTCCTGAACCCCTTCTCAGACTACGATTTAAATGAATGCATAAAATAAAATAGATAGGATCATAAAGGAAATCAATGAGATGGAAATAGAGCAATCAATATATTAAATGAATTTATAATAAATTAAAGTATATGCTTCATAATAAGTACATTAAATAAAAATATTTTATGGTAAGTCTAATAAGTTCTACGTTTTTGAATTAATAATGCGTATAGGTGATATTTCAAGATATCTGCAGTAACTGAAATGTGATATGGAAATATCTGTGATTTCTACATGGACGAAGTCACAGGTAGGGTCCATATGGCTGAGGGTGACTGCCTGTACTCATAATTTATGGGTATATTAATTTTCAGTCAAAGGCTGATGAGAATATGTAGTTGGTTTTCTTTTCCCATCAAAAATTCACGGACTTCTTAAATTCTTCCAACCCCAGGTGAAGAACCCCTGCAGCTTCAAGTTATGACTCAGATGCTCATGAAAATGACACTTAGCACTTGGAGTTGAGATGAACACATTGATCTAATTTGGGAGTACACATATTTTCCATTGTGCATGCTGACTCTGAATGAAATACCCCTTCCCAGGAGAGAGCAGGAACATACTACTCAAGGCAGGAAGCCTTTCAGGAGGCAATGTGTCTCTAGTGGGACCTCTCAGGATGGTGGCGATTTTGAAAATAATTAGCAAGCCACATCTACAGCATTAATTAGTTTCTGAGAGGCAGCCAAGGGATAGGGAATTGCTATTTTGATTGTCCCAATTCAGAGCTCTGCTGCTTAGGTTTCTATAAGTAATATGTTTTTCCCCCTCTGGGAACCAGTGATCTCTACCTGGAGGGATGTTCAGTGTGCGTGTTTACACTCTGTGGACTGCAATTCTTGGATAGCTGGCCTGAGAGCATAATCCTCCAGGCACCCAAGAAGGAAGGCTCTGAATGTGTGTCTTGTTTCCAGTGTGTGTTTGTCTAGCTGTCAACTAAGGTGCCTGCCTAACGTCTCTGGAAGGCCTAGAGCGCTGGGCTCGAAGCGCTGAACAGGCTAAGAATTGTTCTTGTTTTTAGTGGTTTTGAGTAATGTCTGACTGACTGCTAATGATGCCTGTGGTAAACACATGTGTTAATGAGGTTAATCACAGGCTCACTATAAGCAGATTGCCTGGGAGATTGGGGAGGATTTCCTGCTGGCGGTATAATTGGCTGGTTTGGAAGGTTGGGTCTCCTGCGTCCAGAAGTAAGGAAAGCCAGCCTGTGAAATGGACTGTGGGAGAGGCTGGAGGTTGTGTGATCCTTGACAGGGCTCATCCGACCAGTTCCCATGCTGCCTGGCCCCTGGGCAGAGTGGCAGGGGATGCGAAGACAGTGCTATTCTTTACTCTGTGTTGGAAAAAGATGCAAAAAGTACAAATTATGCGAAAGGGGTTTTATGTCTTTCTTCAAGAGCCTTCTTGAGCAATCTGATCCTAAAGGTTACATGGAGAATTTCTGTTCACAGTAGGAGGTTGGCTTAGGAAACCAACTCTTATTCTACAGAATTTTAGGGGCAGTAAATCTTGCCCAGGGCCTGTGCTTTGCATCTGCCTGCCCATCTCACCTTTCTGTATTTTTCTCTGAAATACTCTCCCCTCCAGCTCAGCAATTTATGTTCAGTTTTTCTGTAGAGACTCAAATTTAAAAACTCACTTCCTTTGAGAATTATTCCTTCATTCATCCCCTCTTATTCTGATTGGTCCTTTCCTGGAGGGCCCTGGAATGTAGATTTATACTATGTACTATTTTTCAATTGGCTGGTTACAAAACCCCTTTCATCATATAGTATATTTGAGGCAGTTTTATGTTGTAATTGCACATCAGTTGTTTTATATTTTACTAGTGTCATATGCTCATACCTTCTCAGTAAGATTCTAAATACTGCCAATCTGTAGATTACATTTTCTAATTCATTGTACCCTGAAAACCCAAGGCCACTAACATACAAATAGATACCTGTGATCTGTGATGTAACTGCATATTGAGTACATGAAATGTGACTGAACGGTGGTACATTTATTGCTATTAAATTGTACTCTGGGGGTTACATGTAAGGCAGCTCATGACATAATGAGTATTTGAAGGTTAACCACCAGTATGGTACTGTCTCAGCAGGGAGATGATGACTGATGACTCTGTTTGAGATCTTTGTTTTGCTTTTAAAAAGAGACCTGGCAGGAAAAACTTCAGGAAAGGGGAATGGGGAGATCCTAGAATTCAAATTGATGACACTCTACCTTTTTCTGATGTGTCATCACAGTCTCTTTTCTTATAATGTTAGACGTATTTGTATTTGGATGGCACAGATTAGCCCACACTTAAAAGCTTTGATAGGTCATTACTAGAAATTCACTGTCTACACCATTCATTATTCCTGAAGATAACTGCTACTCCAGATTTCAAAACAATTTAGTATGCATTATAGAAGCTCATCCAGAATACTACCTGTGTACAAAGTAATAAAATTTTATTTATAAAAGATATCTGTTTATAAATTTAGCTGTACTCAAATCTAACCTTACCTGAACGCCAGGACTCAAAAGCCCTCTTACAGATCTTCCTCCCTTTCTCCCATTCTGCTAACTCTCTAGACCCTCTGATAATAGGGGCTCATGAATAAAAAGAGGGTGTTTTTATTAGCATAATCTATGAAACTAGTTGTGAAAATCACCAAGAATGTGTGAACAGCCCTGGGAGCATCACAAACTGTGGGAACTCCGGGTGCCAAAGAGCCTGTGTAAAATCCTGGCCCCGTCACTCTCTAATGATGTTCTCATGGGCAACTTGCTTAAGCCCTCTATGCCTCAGTTTTCTCAGCCGTAAAATGAGGAAAATAACAAAATACCTATCTCACAGTGCAGTTAGGAAGATTAAGGGAGTTAATCCAAGTACTTAGCATATTGTAAAGGCTTGATAAATATTAGTTGTTATTGTTATTGTTTTTGCTATTACATTATTTAGCATTATAAGAGATCTGTGAGTCTGAATGGATACAAATTCAGGTTTAGAGGGAGAGGTGTGATAAATATTTGGCAAAATATCACTTAGGAATGTTTGAGTGAGGACAAATAGCTTAGACAAATTTTAACAGCTAGTAAGAATTAACTCCTTAGCCTCTGTGGAGTCGAGGACCTTAACCCATGTTTGCAGTTACTCAGGCCAAACCCAGGAATCCTCCTCAAATCCTCGTTCTTTCCCACACCGAAGCCCAACCATTAGGAAACGGGTTGGCTCTCTCTTCCAATAGATTCAAAATCTGACTGCTTCCCACTAATAGTCTCCACCTTGGTTTCCCTAAGTCCCCCGCTCTCCCTACTCCGGTCTCTTCCTAGTAACCAGAGGAATACCATTAAAACTTGTCAGTCCCAGCCCCTTATGCTCAGCTCCCTCCTCACTCGGTGTACAAGCCAGGTCCTTACAGGGCCTCGGGGCCTACACAATCACCCATTCCCTCTCTGAGCCGCTCTGCTCTCCAGCCTCAGGACCCCCTGCTCTTCCTCAAAGATGTCAGGTGCACTCCTGCTGTGGGCCCTGCACTGGCTCGTTCCTCTGCTGGGGAAGAGTTTTCGCCAATATCCACGTGACTAGCTCCATCAAATGTCATCTTTCAATGAAGGCTGTCTTGATCAACCTATTTAAAATTGCGACCCATCCTCCATCCCACAGAATCCTGGCTCCCTTTTACCATGCTTGACTTTCTTTTCCCATGGCTCTTATCACTTTCTGGCACTATATATAATGTATTTTTTTTTATGTTTATTTTTTATGCTTTATCTCCCTCCACTTGAATGAAAGCTCCATGAGGGCAAGGATTTTGATCTTATATGCTAATTTATCTCAAGTGTTTAGAATGGTGCTTAGCATAGACTTGCTGTTCAATAAATATTTGCAAGTTAATAATCTTTAATTGACTTTTAATTAAAAGCTCTCCTTTAAGTTCAAAACGACTGCCTCTTTAAGATGCTTTGGTTAATGCATCTTTAAATAAGTGAGCAACTATGAATGAAAGGTACTTACTTTTTTTCTTTTTTAAAGAGAGTCTAAATTGGAGGCTGACTTGTCCTGGAGCTCTCCTCTCCCACTATGTATTATCCTTTGTTTTCAGAGCAGAATATATCTGAGGCCCCCATTCTTTTTCTTGAGTACGTCTCTCATAGGTCTAGGTTTGGGGTCCCTTCTCAGCATAAGAAACCTGGGGAATAGTCTCCCAGCCTGGATCCCTCCCATGGGCTCATCCTTTCTTAACTCTCTCTCCCACTATGACCCAAATTCTGTGAAGATGGCCTTTTAAACTGTAAACACACCTGAGATTATCGCTTCGCATGCCTTTGCCAACTAATGCTTTCACTTATCAATCCCTTTGGCAGGGATTATGGGACATTAAGTTGAAGGCAGTATGAACGGACTATCCCTAAGGGCAACTAAGAGAGTGAAAATGGACTCAATAGAGGATAGAAAAATGGTATGATCAACAGGTCCAATTTTACAACTTTGCCTCGGTCTTGTTCTGGCCAGGCCAATCAAAGTCCATTTAGATGCCAAAGAAGTTTTAAATTTTTGGCAGGTGTTAATCCCAGTTCAAGGGTGCCCAGGGGGAGCCCCTGGAGCTGTCCTAAAGCCCAAGAATCTGTGAGCATATGTTCAATATTCCACATGATCTCTGCCTTCTAGCCTAAGAGCTCTGGAGTAAGCTGCCTTATAGCTGGAGATATAGAAAAGGCAGAAACAGTCCCTTTCTTGCCCTTGGAAGCTCATCTACCTGGCACTTCTTCTCCCACAGGATCCGCAGTGTCAGACTCTCCACACTGCAGGCCAGGCACAGCTTGCTTCCGAAGGCCTCCTGGATCCGGAGAACCAGGCATTTATGATGGGCCTCATCCATGGCGTAGAAGTGGTTGAAATCCAGGAAGACAATCTCTTGCGGGTGCTGCGTAAGAAATGAGTCAATCTCCATCAGCCCATCCCAGACTTTGATGCCAAAAAGCCCATGAATGAAGTAGATTTCCTGGTCGGCATCCCCCGGCTTGGAGGACACACGCAGGTCGAAGTAGCGGATCCCAGCTTCTAGCTGTTCTCGAAATGTCAGGTTCTGAGTCACAGACCACTTCTTCATTAGCTTCTTCACCAAGGAGATCCTGGCGAGGCGTTTGATAGCTGGGGTTTGGTCAGGCCCCACTGGGGACTTTTCATCCACCCAGTAGCTGAATGAATCATGGGAGCCTGTACAAAGCAATAAAGATGAGGAAAGCAGTTGAGACTGGAGCTGGCAAAAATAAGCAAATTGATAAGAAAAAAAAAATTAAGAACCAAATATGCAAAAAAAATGTGAGTACTGTACTTGCAAAAATTTTCAAGCTTGCTGAAAATAAAGCACAAATAAAAGCAATGTAGTCTTATTAGCCGCTTGTTAAGCCCTGGAGTAAAACTATTAATTCTTATATATTGCCGGTGTAAGGTAAATTAATAAATACCCTTTTGGAAAGCGATTTAGAAATATGTTTTGAAAGAGGAGCTTTAAAATAGTCATACTAGTTGATCTAGTAATTTATTCCAATAAAGCTATTTTGAGGGAATAAATTAATTTTGGAAAAGCAAAGATGCTTGCGGAAGAATATTCTTAACAGAGACAAACTGGAGGTTGCTTGAGTGTCCCTCACAGAAGGATGCTTAATGGTGGCATGTCCACTTTATTCATGCAGTCACTGAAACAAAGGGCATGAAAACTGTGTTTATCCCAGGCATCTAAATTCTAGGAAAGGTAGAATTAAAAAAAAAAAAACCTGACTGCTTTTAATGCTTCTGTAAATACTATTTTACTAATGTAAAAAATGAATCAGTAGGAATGACTGACAGATCAGATAAACATCTTAAAGTGTTCAACGCAGGTTAGTTATATGGCCTCTTTTTCAACTCCTCTATTACTGAGCTGAATCTGCTATTAAATGATCAAATGGATGTCCCTTCCTCTGCCTTAAAGAACAGGTGGATAGGTATCCTTCTAGACACTGAGATGATCTTCAATTATTATAAAGTATGAGTGATCATGATAGATACATTTCTAACTATAGTAAGAAAATATTTCTAAGATGAAAATAATCTTTAATGAATACTTTTCATTTTGTCATTGGTTTCCACTTAGAGTCAGCCATTGTTATTTAGTTAGCTCTGTGACTTGCTCTGAGACTGGGGACTCGCACAGCTGGCTCTGCTTTGCAAGCAAAATCAAGGGGGAAAACACCTTTGTTCTGATACTACTAACTTTGTTCCTAATCATTACAACCTGTACTAGAATTAAAATTTTTAATTTATAATAATTGTCACCAGTTATCCATTTTACTAAATCTTAGTCATTTCATACATAATATAGAACTTCATAAAACGCCATTTTATGGTTTATTATTTCCATTTTCTTGAAAATAAATCATTCTGGGATGGCTTTACTAGTTCATCTTCTCAAAAATAAAGTGAAAAAGGGAAAAAAGGTGATAACGCTTTATTTTTATGTAGTCTCTAGAACATGGAGAATATTCAGTAACTATTAAGAAAAAATATATTTACTAATCATTAGGCAAAGGCAATTTTGCAAGCGAGAAAATTACTAGCATATTTCAGGTAAAAAAATTGTTGCTATTACTAGAAATGTGGAGCAAGTCCCCCTGGATTTTCCATATGCACTGTCTCTGTTAATGAGACTCACTGGATACTTGCCTAATGCTCTACTTCCTCTGGCTGTACAGAAACAGGAAATCTTTATATCTCCTCATTGAGAGATTTATCATGAATATATTATATATAGATGGTGAACAGCCAGGTCTCTCTTTAAATTATATTAGCAGCCCGGCTATTCAGGACTGAGTGTACAATACACTGTGAGGCATGTACTGAACTTATTCTTCCCTGGGTATCAGGGAAGAGCCATTATCCAAGCATGGAGGAGAGACAAATCCCCTCTGGAATTCTCTTGTTGCTGCTGAGCCCAGTTTCATGTCCAGACAGAGATGTGCTAACGACCTCCAATGCTTTTCTCTGTGTCTGAGGATTGTGCAGCAATGTGACAGTGATGGAGCCCCAGAGATCTTTTCTGAACATACAGAGACATATATGGTACCCAGCCCATCCCACAGAAGAGGGAGGGTGTGCACATTCTCTAGGAACACAGAGTCTCTCTTCATCTCTGCTCTCTTTTTCATTTCCCCTTTTCCTTTCTGACATCCTCTGCCCAGTACCGCCCGGGAAAGGTAGGGACAATGGAGCAGATTTTTGCTGGTTTATAGCAGTTGTCCTGCCTATGCCTACAGCCACCTAAATCAGCCATTACTCTAACCACTATCAATATTTTTGCCTTTCTACTTATTTCCTTTTGCCTCATACAGAGTGAAATAACATTGGTCCTTTGCTGTATTTAAATATCTTTTTTTGAAAAATAGGATTAAAATGTCCTCCTTTCTCCTGCAAGTAGAATATTTACGAGTTATACAACCTGCAAATGGTAACAAAATAATCCCGCTCCACTGGTGCTTTATTCTCTAAGCGAAAGGCTGCATGGGAGTTGTTAGGGATGGCAGCTTTGATTTCTGGTCCATTTTATGATAAGGTTAGAAAACAGTTTAGTATCTCTTCCTGCTGTGATTTCTGCTAGGGAGAGTATTTCTGTTGCTACTGCACTCATCCCTCTCTATGGCTCCTTAATCTCTGCCTAAAATAGATTTAAGTGGGACCCTTTATCTTAACAAAACAAAGCACTTTCCTTTACATGTCTTACCCCTTTGAGGGGCTGT